TTATTAAACTCATATAATACACCAAGATATTCTACCAATAATTGCTCAAATGATATCATAAAACAAAAATGGTTGTTCTCTAATAAATTAATTCTCAATATATTAAAATCATGCTCATAAGTAGAACGAAGTCGTACCTTATGGTTTTAAAGTGACCAAGTCATAATGTGTCAATACCTTTGTCTTCGATCTGTGATTTGGTTTCACCCTTTATTTTTATCTTTTGTAACTATGGTCATTGTCTCATCCATCCATATGTATCTTTAGTCGTGTTGTCAACTTCATCACACACTATCCGGGACTAGTCTGGATTTAGACCAAGACTCGGGTATTGGGTATTAAAACTTAATACTCACGATTCAATAGGGTTTATATAGCTCTCCCACTGATTTAAAACCTTAAGAACTCATAAGGACTTTGAACAACTTATACTTCATAGTGGGATTACAAAAAAATATAAAGTATCAATGCTCTTCTCACACATTAGATATAGGAAATAATGTTTTTATGGTTTTCCAAGATGAGTACGGTACAATTCAATGGACATAACTTTAAATTTACACATCATTTAATCATGAGACTTATTTTCAAATAAAATAAACTCAAAATTAGACAACTTTCATTTAGAAAGTAGCATAGAATAATGGTCCGAAATGGATCAAATAACATGATTATCATAGGGTCAATTTCTGCTTTGTGTAGCAGAAATTGCAGTATGATACCCCTCAAGTAAAACGACCATAATTTTCCAAATGTGGGGAATTTTCCTATGAGCTCAAATGTACATTTAAACTAGACTCGATTCCTCAAAAGTACAAAGTGGTCCTAACTCATGCTCATGAAAAACCCTTACTGAAAAAGGTATAAAGTTCCTGGAAATATCTTTTTTAGATCTGATACACTTTAATAAATGGTCAATAACTTCCAAAATATACACAATATGATCATGAGAATTTTTCCATATAAAAATACACTCAATAACACAAAATGCTACCAAATATTATTCTCTTACATAAAGTATTGAATGCCCTACCATTCTCTCCCAAATATACAACAGTTCGAAAAATATTCATTCACAGTTCTCATGCCAATGCCAATGACACGATCAATTCTCAAATTCAAAGCATATACAGCATGGAAATCATGATCAAGTGTTTATGCAATTTAAACATTAAATTATATACAATATAAGAGGACTAAGGGACCATATTAGAGCCCTGTTCTGATACCATTTGTTGTTGGTATAAAACCAATGGGCTAGAAATGCAGTGATTTAAAAATTTTCATTGTATAAAAACTCAACGGTTTAAATGCAGGAATATCTCAATACAAAACTATAATACATATATTTCAGCCTACAAACATGGTTTATACACATTTGAATAATAAAATTCAGCCCTATTATGTCCCTTACAAATTCCTCTCAAAAATTCAATTAAACTAAATACAATAGTCAAATATTCACATTGTACATCTCTACAACATATTGCATGAATTGCACTCGCAATTCCTCATTATATCAAAATTATATGATAATTTCATCTTCATTCTTCATCCTCATCATATATCATAATATCTCATACACATCATACACTTGATCATAATAATTCAATAAGATTTCAATTCGTATAAACAATAAATGCATAACATTAAACCTCATACCGCAAAATTAAAAAACAATCTCAATATTCACACAACATACTCAATTTAACCAATCATGAATCCATTTAATAACTATAAATACATCAAATTAACATGCAAACATACATAGAAAAATAATAGCTCGAACCCTTTGTGGCTAGGCCACGAAAGAGCCTTTGGAGGACTTAATTTTGTTTCATTGTCTAATGCACGGGTGATAATAATAACTCAAGGAGATCAATCCAATGGGAAGAAAATGATTACATTTATTTCACTTAATGGGGATCAAATCATGAGAGAGACATGCATCAAAATAGCCCTTCAAATTTTGAGAGAGATACTACACAAAATAAAGAAGTTAGGGTGAAACTACACCATGTGGTCCATAAGGGACACCACGAACTTTTCAACATTAAAAAGGGAACTCAATTGACTATTTCTTATGCTCAAATATGATGAAATAAACCTCTCATCAGTTGCATATTCTCAGTAAAAATTCAAGAAAAATAATATCAAGAAATCAAGTTGAAACTACTCAAGATCATGGAGTAAGCAAGCTAGTATACACATAATATGTGTATGGACTACACTATTGCTTTGAGACTCTTCAAATATCAAGTTTTCATGACCAAAAATGAAGAAAGCTACTGTAAATTAATAATTACAGCATGCTTTGATAATGGAAATGAGGTACGAATTAAAAATATGAGAAGAAAAATCAATACCTTAATGAAGCAACAGTATCGGCTTGATCACATAAATGATGAACTACTTCATAGATCAAATAAAAACTCAAGGAAGAAGATAGTCTCATGGTTTTGTTAAGGGCTCCCTCTCTTTGAAGTGAATACTCAAGTTAGGATTATAATTGATCTCATAAGTTACTTTTATACTTAGATCATAAAGATGTGATCCTTGGTGCCTTAAATCAAAGGCACATGAGAGGCTTTTATCCAAGTCATTCAGCCACATCTTATCACCAAGATCAATGGATGAGCTTTTGACACATTTCACTCCTTAAAACTTAAGTTTATAGTCATTTTACCTTGAAGCCCTTAGCTCCATGTTTTATTTCACATTAAGTCCAAATTCATGTTAACATTTGTGCCCATGGTTTTTGAATAATTTGTGAGAGTCAATAAAATACAAGGACATGGACATAAAGGTAATATGGGACATCCACACATGGGAATAAAATATCTTATGACACCACCAATAGGATTTTAACAACACTAAAATTTCATATGGGTCAAGCCCATAAGGTAGTGCCACATAAGATATACTCACATGCTACAAAATCATATATGGATAATAATATGAATTAAATTAATTATCAAAATTACATGACTTCACATATGCCAAAAATGGCACATATGAGCAAAAAAAAATATGTGACTTAAATCAAACTTAAGTCATAGCAATATATAACACTTTAAATAACAAGATAATATGTTATAACATAATACCAACAAAAGAATTAATGACAAATAGGTCCCCACATAGATATGACATCAGCATGATGTCATCCACGAGTAGGGAGGTGGGGGTGCTATGTAGCATCCCTATGACCACTTGGGATCCATGTGGCATCCCCATGAAATGTCCTTGTTTGGTATTTATGTAAAAGAAATTTTGAGAATCATATTTTATTATTTAAAGAAAAACTTAAAAAATCTCCAAAAATCTCAAAAATTCTCTAAATAATTTTTCAATATTATTATACAATTTTTCATTAATATAAAATATTTTCTCATCAATTTTAGATTAATATGGGGTCAAAGGTAAATGAGATCTCTAAACTTATAACACTAGTCGGAGTCTTCCATTGGGCTAACGTGAACGACGTTCCACCGGTATTTCAAGCCTACCCAATGGACCTATGCTCCACAGTTTATGGCAGGGGTATACTATTGGTAACATCAAAGTCGTTGAGCCAGAGCTTCCTCTCACCAGGGGTTCAATGGATTATTGGTGCAACCCTATGGGACATGTTCCTACGCAAATACATGAGTCATCTCAAAGCACATGCACACTAGCTCTTCTAAGTCAGATAATACTATAGAAGAGTAGCTTCCCCATATGAATGTGGGTGCACATGCCATGGAACGGTGTCGTGTCAGGATACGAGCTCATGTCCCATGAACCGACTATTCCATACAGGGCAAATACTCTTTTAAATACTCGGGTTCTATTATTCTCGATTGAATTCTCCAAGCCTTGGCTTATCACATCAACTATGAGGCATGCTAATCAATATAGTCCTAACTAAGAGGTGACCCTTACACCTCCCTGAGAGTTCACACTCTCAAAATGTATACTCTCATTGCCTCAAATACTCGGGATATATGAATCTGGGCCCCAGTGCGCTAAGCACCTAGATTCAGTCACCCTCTAACTCCTGTTGAACGTAAGACTATTGACTTTAAGGACTTGAAAGACCACATAGTGAACAGGTTATCCTTAGGTGTTTCTTACCCCTAATTGGTATCTGATATTTCCCTGACAACGGTTGTTGAATTTTTATAGTCTTTCCTCCTTGGATTGCTTCACTCGAGCATTGATCTTTATATTCAAAGTCACTCTGAGCTTCCTAATCCTTCAATCTCTTCTTGAGTTGGCTAAGCACATTTTTTTCCTCTTTTTTTTATTTTTCACTTTTCAACTCCTTAAGTTGTCAATACCACAGAGTAAGATGCCTAAGCAGAGCATGGATGCCCCACTTGGCTTATTTGAAAGGGAAGAGTAAGTGATCTCCCATGCCTTTTCGGTAATCTTTTTCATTTGCAACTTCATATTGCTCTTGGGAAGTACATTGCCTCATGGCATATTGGGAGTCGTCAGATAAGGGCATCAGCCTCACCGATTGACCCTACTTTTTTTTTTTCATCAAGTGAGGGTACTCTTATCAAGTGGTTTGACACGGCTGCCCCTGTAGGGTATTTTTCTTGAGATCCTTTCCCTTGAGGGAATAACATGATTTGATCTTTCATGTTTGGTTCTTCATCCTATATAAGCGGGTTATTAAGAAAATCCTATGAAAGTGGTCTAGGTGGTCCCCTTAGAAATAGGGGTTTGATTTCTTTTCTCTCCCGCAGAAGTATTGGATCTTCAGGAATGATAAAATTTGGATCCCTCACTTCTTCTGTGTTATTTGTTATATCAATCTTAGAGATTGACATAATTGAATACTCTAAGATCAGCTCTTTATCCCAAATAGGTGGGTCTACTAAGAATTCCAGTGAAGGTGGCCCAGGTGGGCCTCTTAGGATCTCCAGTTCAAGTTCTTTCATCCATTCTTCAGGGAATGTATCGTCTTTTGCTTTCTCCTTAGGGGATAGTTCAGTAGAATCCTCTAAGCTTTACTCTTTTGTTTCTTCGTGGACTGCATTGTCGAGATTAAGGAATTCCTTACAAATATAATCTTGGGAGTCCCCAGCTTCAGGATCTCGATTGAGCTCATTGATGACGTGGGCATCCTGTGGGCAATCTAGTTGAAAGATGATATCATTTTCTTTTGTGGTGACGTGTATCACAGGGATGTCCTGAAGTTTTTGTGCATTCATTTCTTCAACCGAAATAGAGTTTTTGTTGTACGTTCTTCATTTTCTTGAGTTTCAAAATTCTGGCTACAGATACTTTACTAAATTTGAATTGGATAATTTATCGCCTCAAGATTTGGATTATCTACCCCTACCCTGCTACCTAGGATAGGGGTGTCCTGAACCTTCTGCAAGTTTGTTCATTCCATTGCAATTGGAACTTCTTGTGGGGAAGTTTGCTCTTTCATTCTCTCTTGGATCATGGTCCTTGTGCTAAGGCAACCCTTGGCATTTTATTTATGAAATTCCCTAGCTACAGGGGTTTGAGTGTGCTCATGCTCATCTGGTATGTTTTTTATAGTGTGGATAATTTGGTCCCTTTGTGTCGTTATATTCTCAAATATTATTGAGGCAGCTGGAATTGCTCCCTCCTTTTGTAGGTTGGATTTCTCTAATTCTATAAAGCTCCCCATAGAATAGGCCCAAAGTTAAGACCATTCTCATCATTTGGTTCATGAAATTCCTTAGTAATATACGTCACTTTACCATTTTGGCCCACATTTTTAAGGCAGTTTCTTCCTATGACCCAAGGCTATATTGGATGATTTTTTGGCTTCAGCAATTATTTGACTCGTCCATTTTTATCAAGTTTATACGATCTTCATTTTTAGGGCAATTTCTTCCTGTGCCCCAATGCCATATTGGATGATTTGCAGGCTTGAGCAGGATTTCGACTCGTCGATCTTTATCAAGTTGATATCAGCTAGGACTTCTTCATCTTCATTAGTCCTATCATCTGATATTACTCGTTTTTGTTTTGAGTAAGCTCCATCTATGACCTTAAATGATTATGGTGATGGTTCTGATTTGGGATCGGCTTCAGATTCTTCAATTGTCATCTCTTCATAGCCATATTCAAATGAATCTTCACTATCATGGGATTTTTATTCCATCATGACTTCATTTGGCTCTTGCCTCAGCATCACTGGTGACCGATCTCGGGCCTTTCCTTTGCTCTCTCATAACATGAAACCATTTATAACATTGAGTCAAAAGAGAAAGGTTGAATGCTTTTATTGTAGTATATACTCCAGGGACGCGTTCTCTATGGCCATACTAATATTAGAGGCTTTAGAAAGCATGCAATTAATAACTTTAATGTAGCCTCTCTAACTCTTTGGAAAAAATTTGTGAACAACTTGTCATGATTTTGTCGGGTGGAAATCAGTTCTCCGAGGGTCATTGGTCATTCTTTGGACCCGCAATATTTCTCAACAAAACGTTGAAACAAGTCATAGAGAGTTCGATTCGCGTATTTTGAGACCACCTCTCAGAACCATAAGAAAGCTTGTCCAGAGAGTGTATTGAAACATGGCCTTGAGACAACGATATTTCTCTTCAAATGCAGGAACAATCAATGGGTAATGTAGACACCCCCCTCAAAATTCTGGCTAAGGGAACTCCTAAAACACCTCGATTCCGGTCCTAAAGGACCACACAAACCTCACCAGACCATAGGCAACTTAGACACAATTTAATTGTACCAAAACTACCCAAATCTTGTCTCAAATTGAAGTAGAGCTCAAGATCTTTCCAACGGTCTAACAAGCGTTTGAATCATACCTACATATAAAAAGATATAACAAATAACATTTTAGTCCCTGTGAGACCCAAGGCCTAGAATGGCCTAATGATGCAGTCAAACTCGTCTTGATGACACAGTTAATAACTTCTTTAATTGGATAATGATAAAAGCTTCAAGATAAATCCAAACAAATTAAGAAAAATAAAAAATTGAATCTTATAAATACCTCCTCTCCCTAACCCAAATGGAGACAGAAAAAGAGACCAAAAAACCTTAAAATTTCTCGAAATTAGGAAAATTACCCAAAAATAGGGAAAACCCCTTAGAAAATTCTTAAAGAATTAGGAAAATTCCCCATAAATCACATAAAATCCTAGAATACATATTCAACCCTAGGAGATCCCAAAACCGTTAGAAAACTAAGGAAATTATCCATCAATCCCAAAACAAACTAGGTAGACCCAACCAAAAATTCACAGCTTTTCCTTATACTTTAGGGACCCTTGATCTAGGTCAAAGAACTTGAGATCTACAAATCCAGCAAGCAAAAGACATCGAAAAAAAGGAGATGGTGGCGCACATCGGAAGAACGGCCAGATCCAAGCCCGGGTTTTGGGTCCCTAGAGGTAAGTATATTTTTTTTTGCTTGATTTATTTTGTTTTCTTTATTTAATTATCTGATTTATTTTATTTTTTCTGAAAATTAACTCATCATTATATTTAATTTTTGGTCAAAATACGGATTTGGAGCTGGCGTTGCCAGTGGACTCATAAAAAGACTGGATTTGTATAGATCTGGAATTTTTCTGAGCTCATAATTCAAACAACCCCACTCTTTTTACCTTTTTAAAAGTAACCAGGTTTTGTTAAGATTTGAGCAAATCTCATCCTAGAGATTGGTGCAGATCGGAGCATAAACAGTTTGGCGACCACCATGGGGCACCTTGAGCTTCAAATTCGTATTTTAAACTTAAAAAGACTTCTTCTTTTTTCTCATATTTATTTTTCCAGCAAATATATATATATATATAAAGAAGAAAAATGAGGTACAATTAAAAAAAAAAAAACTATTAGATTCGGTCTTTTCTTTCTAGATCTTATTTTTCTCTCTCCATACAAAATTTAGGATCGTTTTTCTCTTAATCTTTAAGATCTTTTGGATCTTTTAGATCATATTCTTCTAGATTCGTCTTTTAGATCAATCATTATTATTATTATTTAGATCTTCTTTTATATCCATCTTGATCATCTGTAGCTTAAGATCATCTTATCTTTTGATCATCTTTTAGGTCAATTTTTTAGATCATCTTTAGATCTATCTTTTAGATCATCTTCATCATCTAGAACATCTTTAGATTCATCTTGATATCATTTATATTATCATTATTATCTTTTTCATTCATGCTTATCTTCTTTGGATCACAATTATCTTATTTAAATACATCTTTATCTTTTTATAATACATCTTTTAGAAATAATATTGTTTTTTCTTTCCTAATGAAAAAAATAATAATAATTTTTACCACTTTTGAAAAGTTACTTTTTAAAAGAAAAAGATAAAAAGAAAGAAAAAGAAGATAGATCTAGGCTTTCTCTACTTTATCTGTTAGATTAGAAATATATCTTTTTTTTTTATTATTGTATCTTTTGTTTTTAAGCCTTATCTGCATAACTTAGAATTTTTTTGACTTTATCTTCTTTAGAAACATCCTTTACTCTCTCTAAAAAAAATATATATATATTTTTTTAGTCTCATCTGTATCTTGTTTTTTTTAGATAGCTAAAAAAAAAAGATTAAAAAAAAAAAAGATGATTTTTGTTGCATAATTTTCTAATCATGTCTATAGTTCGTGATAACTTAGATACTAAGTCTACTTCCCAATTGGTCAAGGTGCTGCCAATTGTAACACAATGCTTGGAGTTTATATCCTACAACTTAACTTACCCAAAAAGAATGGCAACACAATGTCCTGAGTTTGAATTGTACGCCAAAAGGAAATGTGCACGCATTCATATGCATGTAAGCATATTTGTATAAGACTTTGCATGTGTGCATCATGCATGAAAACAAGTGAATGAAAGAACATAGCTACATATATATGCAAACTATATGTGAATGAAGAATATATTTAGGTGCATATATATAGCAAGTATCTATATTTGAAATATACATCGATATGTGCAAGTTTGAGAGTGAGTGCATGCACATACAGGTGTAGTAGGAATCAACAAATATATTGCAGCTGAGCCTACAATTAACGGACTACTTTTCAATGTTATGTGTCTTCCAGGGTGTGTGCAGGTTAGTAATGCTATATGTATATATGTATGTATACTAAGATAATTAAGTGCGTGAATGTGCCTTTTTTTGGTATTTTGTGCTGGTTACCTCTTTGATCCTTCGTGTCAAATTAGAAAGTCTTTTAGATGTCATACTCCTGAGTGTCCCTCCAAATGTCACTTTGTCAAGGATGATCGCAAGAGTATGGGCAGCAGTAATGAAGATAACAGACACCACCTTCAATTGGAAAACCATATTAGTCAGTTGAAAAGCATAGTTCGACCGAGTAGAAGATTGCCTTCTCATATTGTAGCTTCACTTCTCAAAACTGCATTAAAAAACCACTGGTTTTCTACCATAAGATAAACCTTGTAGCAGAACATGGGAGTATATAGGAATAAAGATTTTTATGTAAAACAAGATTCCTTTGGGATAAGGCACATCTATTACAGAGAAAACTCTTCTTATCTTGGATAAAAAAAAGTTCTTAGATAAATTTGTTTTTAAAGTTTAAAGAAGAAAATATATGAAAATTTCAATAAAAAATAATTGAATTTTTCAATAGAGATAGGCAAAGGTAGTTAAGGTGCAAAGTGTCACAAGATGATATCTAGAGTTCCATTTACGCTGTGTTCCAGGTTACCATTCAAAAAAAATGAAAGGATCCTACCATAGTTGTTAGAGGGGAGAGCGGGCTTGAGAGCGGTATTAGTTTGGGGAACGCTGAACCACTATAGGTTGAAAGTGTGCTAGGGTTAGGATTAACATCCATACATCAACAAGTTAAGGAGCTAGATCCTAGAATGTCTGAGAGTGAGATCCCATGTCATTGAGATCAATGTTTAGACTTGGAGGGAGCAAAGCTCCACTATACATAAAACGACATCAATTATTAGCATATGATAAAATTAGGATCAAGCCAATGCCCGCTTAGTCCATTATCATACACCTTAGCTTAGTTTATCGAATACGTTAATGTTTGTATTCAGTGAAAATATGTACACGTCAACAAGGTCACAACCACCCAGCCATTAGATTTCAAGTTATCTGATTTGTCGTTTAATAGCTAAAGATGTCTATGAGTTCTTATTATATACGATCCTTAATACACCAAAACAAATAAGAATTGAAGTATTTTATGTCTAGCAGTTTATAAGTATGGGTTGGGTCCAACTGGATCCGGACCAGGACTCGAATAGTGTTTGGGTCAAGGTTTTGGACCGGGTCCAAATGTTGGACCCATATCTAGACCCGTATTGGGAATACCCGGCTGGTCTTGGGTCGGGTCCGGGTCCATTGCCACCCCTATTGAAAACTCACTCGTCCCTCAACTAGTTATTCGTATAGTAGTTAACGCTTTGTTGTACATATTTCTCATTAAGTTGAGATAGTATTTGGAGACTCCTTTCTTTTCCAACAACTACCAAATCAAATCTTGAGGTTCTCCATCCTAAACTTTCTCTAGATCAATAAAGACTAAGTGAATGTCTTTTCCCTTTGCCCTAAACTTCTCAATCAGTTGCTTAAGTAGGAAAATAACATCAGTTGTTGACCGCCCTGGCATCAAACCAAATTGGTTTTATGATATACTCGTTTCATACCTTAGTCATTATTCAGTCACTCTCCCCAAGGCTTCATAGTGTGGCTCATAAGTTTGATCACTCGATAGTTTGCACAATTATGTATTTCTCATTTGTTCTTGTAAATAGTACTACAATACTTTTCCTCCAATCATCTAATATTTTCTTTGTTCTCAAACCTTGTTGAACAATTTGGTCAGTCAGTCAATGCCAATCTCCCTCATGCACTTCCAAACAACTATCAGGATACCATCTGATTCTAAAACCTTTTCTATCTTCATCATATCTAAGCCTCTATTAGGATACCGTCTGGTACTAAAGCCTTCCATATCTTCATCATTTTCAAAGCGTCTTTCACTTCCAATTTTCTAATCCTACGATTCTATCTATGACTTTCTCCCTCACTTATGCTAATAGTTCCTTTTACCACTGTGTTCTTATAGTTTTTAACTTCTAATCATTTTTTAAAATAAGCTCTCCACCTTTTGTTGACTTCTTCATCTTTTACCAAGACTCTTTGATCATCACTCTTAATATATTTAATATGGTATAGAGCCCTACACTTTTTGTCTCTCATTTTTGCTAATTTGAATATATCTTTGTTACATTTTCTTATTCCTAGTTTACTGTGTAGATTATTTTATGCCTTAAATTTAGTTTTACTTACTATTTGTTTAACATTTTTATATTCTTCAAAGTTATGATTATTTTTATTTAATTGCCAATTTTTTTAACATGATCATTTTTTCGCTAATGGCCTTTTGAACCTCATCACTCCACCACCAGGTTTCCTTAGCTGAATTTATTTTCCCTTTAGATTCTCCTAAAACTTCTTTTGCCACTTTCTTAATACAATCAACCATCTCATTCTACATAATATTGACCTCATGTTTGGAGTTCTATTTTTCTTCTTCAACTAATTCATCCCTAAATATGTCTACTTTCTCATTTTTAAATTCCACTACCTTGTTCTTGAACACCTATTAATTTCACCCATTCTCTTTCATGTTTTTATATAGACGTCCTTAACCACGAGCCTATGTTGGGTAGTGGAACTCTCTCTTGGGATAATCTTGCAAACTTTAAATGATGTAGTTCACCTCGCTTTTTAAAGTTTTGTTTGCTATTACTAGGTCGTAGGCTATAACAAAAACTAGAATAGCCTCACTCATCTCATTTCTGTCCCCAATCCCATATCCTTCATGTATCCCTTCATATTGTCTATTATCCTTCCCTACATGACCATTTAAGTCCCCTTTTAAGAATGTCCTTTTTCCATTTGGTATGTTTTGAACCATTCCATCTATGCTCTCCTAAAATGTCTTAATTCTATCATTTAATCCTACCTATAGTACATGATCACTAATTATATTAACTATCTATTTCCCTAATACAAGTTTAATAAGAGGAGTCTTATCACTTATTAACTTAACATTAACTATTTTATCTTTTGAATATTTGTCTACGTCATTTATATTATTATCTTTTTCTATATGCCAAAATTTATACCCATCTATTTCTTTAGCGTTTTCTGTTTTCTATTTAGTTTCCATACAGGTAATATCTCTAATTTTTTATTAATTTTCTTTTAGCATGTAAAAACCATTAAATTTCACTCATTTTTATACAGTAAAATCTAGGTTTTACTACCTGAATCTCAACAAAATCTCTGGTGTTACTATCTCCATAAGTCTTTGATTTCACCAGCAAAATTTTAGATACTTTACATAGTAAACTCTTCGGATAACCTCTTTGAATTGTTTGTTTGTTTCCTTTTAATCTATAAAAACCATTAGGTTTTACTCATTTTTGCATGGTAAAATCCTTAAGTCGTAGTCTATAAATCTCAGTAAAATATTCAACTTCACTAAGTAAAATAAGATATTCTATAGAGTAAAATATCTAATTATATGGTAAAATCTCTCATGTTTCTTCCTTTTTTTGAATATGTAGAAGTTGGTAGTTTTGCTCATTTTTACATAGTAAAACCTTTAGATTCTCTTATGTAAAATCTTTTAATGTGCATAGTTGGTATAATAGATTGTGTATATAGTTGGTAAAATAGATTAAATGAGATCAAATTACTCTTACAATAGAATGCATGTATAGTTGGTAAAATATTTGATTGGGTAGTTTCCATGATTGATGGGATCACAAAGTTACTACTGAGGGAACCATATAATGGCATTTATATACGGACATGGTTTCTAGGTACGAGATGAGGGGGGTACTGTGAAATTTTTAGGGATTTCCTTATGTCGTTTGAAAGAAAAATGGAAAGAGAGTCTACCATGAAATAATATGAGAAATTAGAGTTCTATACGAAATCCCCACTCTTCTTGTTATTGGTTCTTTTTCTCCGCCCTCTACTGATATCTGGGATCTTAGCGATTGGGCTAAGAGAGCTTGGAATCTACCCTACTCTCCTGTGGTCCATTGTTTCGGGAGTAACATGATGTTTTCTCTCTTTCCTCTGTTGATGATGTTCGTAAAGTTCTCCTTATTCGCAACACCTGATGTGTCCGGGATAAACTTTTATCAGTGGATTCCCGGAAACCACGGGATCACGCTAATCTCACTTTTTGCTGCCCTTGCTGGGTTCGCTTCGGAGGTATCCCTATGGGAGTCTTTCAATGTCTAGCCAATCTGGTGGGGGTTTTTGTTGACGTTGATAGGGAATGTATGGTGGGTCATGATCTCTCTTTTATTAGAGTCAATATTCTTAGATATGCCAAGGCCCTGACTCCTCATCGATCAACCTTTTTATTGGTTCAAACCATTTTATCATTTATGTCACCATTAAAGGTTTGAAGGCTGCCAACCCTCTAGCTCTGGCACCTCTTGAAGTTTCTACTGATAAGGAAGATTGCTCTTGGGTTGAGGTTCTTAGAAAGCCTAAAGTTTCTCCCCCTGTTCGACTTGCTGGAGCCATTCTTGGACATGCTAGGGCTCGACCTCCATTGGCGAAATAGGGTCCTCTTCGGTTGAACCCCAGATTGGCAAGGCCACGTGGCAATAGATCTGAGATTGAATCGCTTGGATCTTCCTCTTCCTCCTCCAAAAAAGTTAAAATATGGAAGCCTACTGGCTGATTTTTTGCGGGGGATTTTTTGTGCTTTCTTTCCTTGAAACCGTCAGCTAATTTCGAAAATAAAGGAACAAAGCCTTTACTCTCTTATTTTGTTTCGGACCCATCTTTCCCTCCCTGTTTGGGTGCCGCACCTAAGCCTCCTCGTTATAGGCCTGCCTCTTCATCCAAAGCCCATCTTTCGAGCTCTTCTCCCCTATTTTCAGCTCAATCTCCTCCCTTTGTTCCATCTCCGCCTCTCCCTACCCATCCCACACCTCTCCCCAATTCTACCAATTCTGCCTCTTCCGCCCTTCTTACTCCTCCTATCTCGCCACTCCCTACCCATCCCGCTCCTTCTCTCAATACTTTCGCCGCCGTCCATCCTTCTATCACTTCTATTTCCACCACCTCTGTCTCTTCATCCTCTTCTCACCCTTTTTCTATCCAAGTGACTTCAGCCTCTCCCTTTAGACTCCTTAACCCTTTCAAGCCCTTTCAATCCTGGGACTTGCTTCTCTTCATTTGCTCCTTTTTCTCTCTTGGTCATCCTCTTTTTGCTCTTCTTTTCTCTTCACCATGTTCAATCA